TGGTATATTATCCTAATTTGTTGGAAGTATGCAGAGCTCTCAACATCAGCTACACCAGGAGAGATGTACATTGCCAGAGGGAAGCTGGCTTGGTCCGTCTTCTGCTTTATAAAGCGGGAAAGCTAAAGACTAGCACTTTACTGAAACAATTCCAGTAATCTAAGACCTTTACATCAGATTAAGCTTTATTAATTGATTGATTAACTTTCCAGACTGGTGAAGGAAATGTAATTACAATGTGGACAGAACACGAACTACTATTCAACTATTAAAGGATGCTCTAGAAGGACGTGTTTTATTTGTGGATGACCAAATACTCAGCACATCTTCCTGCTGCATGGAAAACCATAGACAAAACTTCAGGTGGCCAGAAACAGAACTGCATATGTCAGAAGTCTGTGTTAAAATTTTTTAACAATATCAATAACTTACTGTAGTTTTAAAATAAACATACACATTGACCACTTTTCTCCTCTCTGCCTACAAATAACCAGTAGCAATGCTTTTATTTTAGTCCCGCAGGAATGTTTACCGATAGTTCCGATTAAAGTCACTGCACAAAATTTATCGCCTGTTTTAGTATTTTAACATTATGACTTACAGCGTACACTATTCAGGATAGGGACACGGCATATCTAGAGGCTTTGCAATTAACACAACAAGGCCTCAAGTCTGATTCGGACTTCTTAGTGCTTCTACAGCTGAGCCAATAATGACTTTAAACGATTTCTATCACATAATTCATCAGTAGGGGTGAGCGGTATCGGACTTCTTGCTTGTTGGTCGACCAGGTTTCCTTTCGGATGGGAAACGGAGCCCGAAGGAGGGCCGGCATCGATGCACCCGGTCGTACTGCGGGCTCCCGGTAGAAGACAACGTTACGAGCGTCGCTTGCGTCGCGTTGCTCGTACAGTCGCCGGCTCCGACCACGACCCAGGCCGGGTGTCCGGCCTCCACGAGGGTACCGGCCCTGAGCTGCCCACCTGAAGAGACTGCCTCTTCCCTTCTTCCCAGGCCACACGTATTCACCCCAAGCAATCAAAAGTTTATTTCTTGACCCCCACTGCCATTCACCTGACTGAAATCCTGCTCCTTCCTGCACCTTTTCAGATTTTACCAGACGCACCTACCGGTCCGCCCAGCGCAGCGCAAGAAGAAAGGTTGTAAGGCACGGTGAATTCTGTTTAGCCGGCCGTTCGCTACCGATTTCCCTCTGAAAACGCCGGTATCGCTTTAGGGGCGCCCCGGAGAGCAACTCCCGCGGCGCCCACCGTTACCTGCCCGCCGGCGGGGGGATGCCGGCCGGGGCCGACCCGCCCCGGGG